CCGTTATTATCGCGTAATTAACGCCTTCGGAGCTCGGGGAACGATCCGAAAACCAAACAACTGAGACAAAGAGAGCCTTCATCTGACCCGCAACACAATGCCGACCTACAATTCGCTGTTAATTAGTTTGGTTGTGTACACAGAACTGGTGTTCTACGAATGAAACAATCTCCTTCATTATTTTCAGTGAAATCTCAGTCGAAAGCAACTTCTTGTACCTACATTTCATTTTGTTTCAAATATCACGTTGCTTTAGATCATAAAATACGATTCTCTTAAATTGTTACTTGTCCTTTGTAACGACGGTCTATAAATTCAAATAAAGCCCCGGGCGTATTGTAATTGTAAGTTGGTTCGTTAAGATCTAGGCCATAATCATTACAGCAATCAACGCAAAAAAAGTCAAAAACGGTTAGTGAACGTCTTATCTTAACTTTTGAAATACTAGAGCATTAAATAAATAGATTTACCGCTGTATTTCGAGAACGCAAGAGGACACATGGCACAAGCATTTGATACCCTTGGTAATGAATCTAACTTACAGTCATTATTTCATGTGATAGGAACTTGAGAGCACATAATAAAAATATCTCTGGGTAACACATAACCACACTCGGTAGTTGGAAGTTACATCTGGAACATTTTATTTTCATACCCATAAGGGTCAGAACCGAATAGATATGGGAAAATTAATTGCTTGTGGGGTTAAACCATACTTCAAGTATCTTGGGAACTACCGAATATGATTTAAACATGATACAAAGTATGTATGGTGTAGCTAGAACCAGAAAGGAAAATCATGACTCTTGGTAGAGCCTTAGTTTTAAATGTCTCAGCATATTCGCTCATATGATCGTTGTGATTGTTCTAACTGGATGATTTATTATAGTGTAAATCTTCCACTCCTTATTGGGGAGCCCCTAGTCCAATTTGGTGCCTGACACGGCGAGCCCGATCGCTGGACTGGCAACCTAAGGCGAGCGTCTCAAACGGAACACGTGTCGTTGATTGCCCCCAATTGGCGAGCGAATAAAAACAATCGTCGCTTAAAAATAACCGTGATTTCATCTCGCAACATGTGACGCTTGTTTTCTCTTGGAACAGAACATGGGGTTCCCAGTTCCCACAAGCCCATGTGAAATGTCCTGCCGCCGAGATCCCATACTGGCCTCTGAATCACTAATGATAATGAACTGCGTATGTGAAATAGGAACGGGAAACTCTTTCAGGAACATGTGGAACTGACAGGAACACTTCGTACGCCATATGGAGTGCGTAAGTCGGAGGTTGTGCAGTGGCCATCTGATGTTTACGTCGAACGCGACGAAATGGCGATAGTGACATCCGCACTTAGTGGTCATATTCCATATGTGGGTCAACTTCAGGAAGTACAACCGCAACATATTTTTCCCACAAATGGTTCTTTGCTAGCTGATAGCACCCACGCGTTTGCGATGTGGGACAACCATTGCAAAATGTGGTAGGTTGTTACATTTTAGCGTTTCATTACCTACCGCTTGATAACGTTCCAAGCTTGCAGATTCTATCAGCTTGATTTAATGGCGCAGTCAGATAGAGAAATTCATTACAAATGCCAACATTATACAGAATCGGTATTCATTTCCTCTACATTACATTCTAATCACTGAGACTTACGCAATTGCAACTGAAACTAGATTAGGCTATCGTTCTCACACCAGTGGGGATAAAAAATCAATTTACTCAGTTTACTAGACGTGAGCGTAACTCCCACGGCAGTTACGTCGCAGTAGTGCAGCAGTGCAAATTGCCCTCGACGACGGGGGAGTCTCATGTGCGGAGCTTCCGGTCTGCAGGCGTGATCAAGCACCATTAATTGCTAATGCTCACACGCACTTTCATCTACATGCGATTCTTGGACGTCACCCTAATTCTTTTCTTATACCGGTGACAAAAAGTTCAAAATTGCAGACTAGTTGCATCGCTGATTTTGCATATTTTCTTAAACACGTCTCTACTCTACCGCACTCTACTGTGTTGTAAAAGCTTTTGTTTTATATTTTTCAATGTTTTACCCTAAACTACTACTTAAAGTTTTTACGATGGTGGTTATCATTATGGTAATTTACTTTAAAAGCCTTAGTCACAAAGTCGCTGATCGCGCCTACTTATTTTGAAGCGGACAATGGTTATCATTTGTGACAAGGCTCTTTGTTCGAAGTTAAGTTCTCCATCTATTGTTAAAGTTTGGCGCCAACCATTTCATACAAAAACTTAAATGCGTGATCAGAAAACGTCGCCATTGTTTGAGTTTTTATTAATTTTGTCAGCACTTCCACGATGAGTCGTTTATTTTGATAAAGCTTTCTTACGCAAGCAAACGTCACAGTACCCACCAAATGTACCAATTGTTTTTTACGTTTTGTTTAGATGTCACACTCATTACGCACTTCCGTCCGACACATCTTGTGGGATTGCGTGGGGCAATTTAATTAGCTAATTACTTATGTGAGACTTTCACTTTAACAGCGTTTTTACTTTTTGCATATTCAGCAATTATTTTACTAACAATTAACCAAAACGGTGCATGTTTTCTTTACTTTTCTTCTACTTTAAAGTTCACCATTACGTAAACTGTTGTTACCCAACGAGTTGTTACTCAGATAGGTACCAATTGAATCGATTGGATGTAGTTTATATCAATCTGTGCCTGCACTCAGACTCAGCCGTTATCGTGCGAACGCGTTATAATAGGAGGAAATTATAATAAACAGATCCCGTCCCCTCGGCCGCTCCCTAATAAATATTAATGTATGAACTTGAATGCAGCAGCTCCACAATGGACGATGCCGGTACATTGACACTCAATTTGCTTTTTTGCAGGCATCGTCTCATCGCGCCCTTTGTGCGTTCTTACTTCTTGCATTAACATACGTCGGGTCGCGCATTAGCATGCCATTGTGATGACACTCATTAGACGATACTTACTTAGCTAATATTTACTTTTATTGCTGTGTGTATGTGGCAGCTTATCATCAAACATAATTTGTTTGTGTCGCGTAACTCGGGTATCTAGCAAGCTGTCGTCATGTACACATTATAGCAGTAAACAATTAACTTAACTACAGTTTGACTCATTTCGAACATCTCTCCGACTCAAATAGGTAATTCCGAAGACCTAAGTCCTCATTCCTATAACCATTTCTTTTTTATGATTGGTGACTTTACCTAATCTCTAAACCTAAAGGAAATAGCATTCTTTAAAGCTTCAATAAAGCTCAGTTTAATACTGTAAAGTAAACCGTACCAAAAATCATTTAGAAATCAATCAATCACCCTCTCATCCTGAGAAAATCAAACATGAAAGATAATAAACACAAATTGACATTATTGTCCTATGTTTTTCAATAGTAACTTTGTAAGGGTGCGCCCGCGCATAACCGGAAGGGTCACGTGTCCCACCAGCGGGGGATGCCGAGAACACTTTTCCCGTCTATTTCCCACGATCCACCCCCTCACCCAAATACAATGGGAAACCCAACTTGTTGATTTTGTTCCGTCCACCCTCAATATAACACCGTATCCGGATCTTGTAAAGCGATTATTGTATTTTTTTAACTTTAATGCCCTGTTGACGTAATTAATTGCAGTGTTATCCTCATCTTCTCATGGGGGTTTGAGCTAATATATTTTGTTGTAAGATGTTGTTATCCTTTAGTAGGTATAAGAATTTACTATATTCTATCCTATCTGTAATTATCAGCCTTTAGGTTCGTCTTCGAAATAAGCCTCCTCTTCATCCACTGACTTCTGTCCCCGGCCACTTGCATTCAGTTTATCCCAGCTTATTGCCGGATCTCATTTGTTCATCTCTTAGGCGGTCTTCCTCTGCCTTCCATCCATATTATTATAACATAACAATTTACCATAATTAGAGCTTCAAATAGGTAGGAAACTATACCCAATCTAAGACTTAACAAATGCAATAAAAGTGATTGTACCTAGCCTAGTCAACGTTTTAGTATAACAGATTAAAATCAACAGACCCAAAACAATTAAACACCCAAGTTTACTACCTACGTAGATTACAGTTTTTACGTTCTTTTTATAGCGTCAGATAATTGCGGAAAATCGGTGTCATTCCGAACAAACGAATTAGCATGTCTTGATCTTTTATTCATTCGTGGAATGCCGAATAAAGCAACATCAATCTGGAGTTAATAACTTCGCACACGCGAGCGAGTGGTAACAAATGGATGGATCATGGAGGTGGTATGCCAAATGATCGGACTTTGCCTCAGGTCAGGATCGTTGGCTAAACACGACATTATGAATAATGTACGTGATAATGTGAACCACATTCTCATTTGGTTGTGGAATGCTTTCGAATTTGATGTTCTGCAGTTCATACATAAGTGTGTACGAATAAATGAGGCAATTAGTAACAGGCACTTTAAATATAATATGATTAGGTATGATTCAAGCTCGAGAGTTTATTACAAATGATTTGCCCCCGGGAATCAAACCCGCAACCGCTGCGACAATACGCGCGAACCACCGATCAGGCGGTTGCTCATTTTTGATATCTTAGAGGAACCTTCTGTCTGTGGTACCTCCTAAATTAATGGTCCCAGCTATAATGGATGTATAAAATATCCACATAATAACATACAAATTGTCAAAGCGTAGGTAATAAGCTCATTATCTTATAGTTAAAAACAAACATTTTCCTATTAGACTTTCCTATTTTATTCTACTTTTTATGTTAATAGCAATCATCCGGTATCAACATTAAAAAAAAAACATCATTTATAGTCAGTCAACCTTCTTAGAACTTGCTAATTTACTTAAATTAAGTAAATGTTAATCGTGACACTTTACACATTATTTTAAAACTACCTATCATTATCATTCGTGGCAGATATCTGTAAGCATCATAACAAACAAACGGTAAAAAATGCTTTCGATTAAAGTGTCACGCCGATCTGGTACAAAAGAATAGAAAAGTTCCGCCCACGTACCTTCCACTCCAGTCGCACTGGTCACCCATCACGCCCGCCTCCGCGCCGCGGGACAGGCCCAAAACAATAGTCCAAAGCACCACCGACCACATCTCGACTCCGACAGTCTACTCCGAGCACTCCAAATATCACATCACTAATACAATGTTCATAATCACACCGATAAAACGAATTTATTTACGCTTTATCTGTCAATCCAAATTAACGAAATTTTGAGGAGCAGCGCGTCAACCGCTCTCTTGAAGCTCAGAAAAGATACTAAAAAGTTATACAAACTCATTACGCCAATCGCTGACGGTGCGCGAGCGAGATAGATATAGAAACGTAATGATAGAGCAGTACCACCAATATCTCTGTCTTTTTCATACATATCAAGGAAGACCCCGACCAATTTTCTAACTTAACCTTAAAGCAATAAAGTGCAAACTCCATTGACATTTTCCAAAAGCTCCGTAGCAAAATAGAATTGGCGGGAAAGGTTTTGTTTGCCAGCGAAAGCTTTTTGCCTTGTTGTTCGTGTTTGTTTACAAGTCTCGCTCTGATTTGTGGCATGATAAGTTGGGTCCAACTGAATTGGATATCGAACTCATGTAAACCTATTTCGTATTTTACTGCGAAATGGGAACAAACGGTACAAGAAATCTAATGTGTGTTTGGTCTGCATTATAAATACGTTCTTGACTAGGAATGAGATGATTTAGGTATCTAACATACAAAATAAAGACAAGCCCTTGGATATAAGTTTCGTATTATGTAATTCTAAAAATCATTATTAAGTCCGTTATCTAGTCCCTCTATTAATTAATCAATTTATAAGCCCAAAATTAAGTATGAAATATTAGCATTAAACATATCGTTATGAAAACTAATTATATTCTACATTTTTAAACTATCGCAATATCTCTAAAACTCAATTTAGCTAACCATTAAGTTAATGTGTGTGATGTGTTATTATTAGTGCTCGTTCAAGTATAAAAAGGGCTATTATAAAACTGCTCATTCACTCATTGGCTGCAGGTAGATCCATAAAATGGGGTGCGTCGGCGCAAAATGATATCGGCAAATAGATAATATGATTCCAACCAGAGATCCCTTTATTATGGGGTACTTTTATCCAGCAAATAAAATGAAAATAACCCGTAACAGTTTACATATTTTTCAGGCGGTTCATGAAAAATGATTTCAGATTCAGCCCAAAACGAATTTCAGTAAAACAACGTTCAATGAAATTATTATAATGTTTTCGATTGATCGATAAAAGTTGTGTAAAGCCACAGAACTTACCTAGCGTTACTTTATTCTAAACACATCAGTCACATTCAAGTTTAGTTGTGGTGTAAAAATTTAATAAAATTGTATTGATCAAACTGCATTTGGTGTCTGTTTTCTAATAAAATAAAGCTACTGAACCCTGAACGTGTTTGTGGACCATGGATGAGTCGTCCATTTTTTTTTAAGTTAAGGGTGATCTTTTAGGTTAAAGACCGCGCATCCAAATATTAGTAATTAAGGGTGAATGATGGCAGTTTTTTGCTACTTTTCGCCCTGTCTGTGGTGATTGTCTATTCAAAATACCGATGCGAATTTAATGTTTATTAGGTTTATCCGAAATGTTTTATTGGCTATAATTAATGCGTTAAGAATATCGGCCAATGCTTACCTGTCGCATGCGAAAGTATTTCTTTAATAAAACCAGCGTATGATGAGGCCATCCGAATACCTACCTTCAGCAATTATAAGCACTGAAATCATTAATTACGATTACCTAACTAACATGTTATAAAGGTTCTTACTACTTACCATAGCTACCGGTAAAGCTTAGAGCTTACCTTATGACAGTTTTTCAGCGGATGAACTTTATGTTTCTTTGTTAAGGTTCGGCCAAACCAACGCGATCACACGCGATCAGCCGGCGTGCAGCGATGGGCGACTAGACTTAGGGTTCGGCCAAACCAACGCGATCACACGTGATCAGCCGGCGTGCAGCAATGGCGATCAATGCATTTAAGTCTGGTCGCCATCGCTGCACGCCGGCTGATCGCGTGTGATCGCGTTGGTTTGGCTGAACCTTTTAATGCATTGATCGCCATCGCTGCACGCCGGCTGATCGCGTGTGATCGCGTTGGTTTGGCCGAACCTTTAGGGAGTGTAATGTCTAGACCCTGAACCGATTTTAAAAATTCTAGGTTTTACCTGATGAAAGCTTCACTATTCTTAGTGACATATTATTATCTTTCTCTGACAGCCGTATCATAATCAGGTCGATGGTTCATCGCCAGATAAATGTAGATTCACGAGTCCATCTTTGGCCCTTATCTGTTTGCTCCACGCGTTACGTTTCCCGTCAGGGCCGTAGCTAGGGGGGCATTATACTAACCTTAAAATTCCAGTGCCCTAGCTCTACACTTAGAATACAGATTGTTCCGTGATCTGAGGCTCTACACCAGCGGTTCCCGAATGGTGGTCCGCGGAACCCTGGGGTTCCGTGGAAAGGCCGCAAGGGTTCCGTAAAAATTCCGTAAATCACAGTTTCACCTGTGAACCGGAAAAAAAAAACTTTCTTCTTACATTCGTTTTTGGCATAGAGACTAATCGATAGAACCTAGGCTCGAATTAACCAAGGAATCATACTTTATTCTTTCAGAAGTCATCCAGCAACGAACACCTATCTACCTTCTTTTTAGCTCCTTGCCCTATTTGGTATTAATGCCGCTGTCCTATCTTCAATTTAACTCTTGCTGCGGCCCTGTTCTCCGCGTGTATGTTTGCGGACAGATAAACTAAGCCAATAGCCCGTGTTTGCTCCGCGATAGTCGTTCCCTTTGTCGCCATTGATTCGTGCTTGTTTAGGTCGGTGATTCGCCCCTTATCTCGCTTTTACGCAAAAATGATTTTAAACTGAGAAAGTTTCATTTTTTTGCTATTAACGGCTATTTTTCTGTCCTAGAATAAAATGCTAGGCTTGCGAAGAATCTGTGACTACCTTCCTTCTCACTCTGAGATGTTGGTTAACAGCATTGCTAGGGTGGATTCTAATTTAGAATTTCTAAATAACACTGGATTTTAAACATGGTTCTTATTTTTTTTTTTATTATTAATAAATCAATTATATTCCAGCCAAACAATAACCATGGCGCGTTGTACCTAGCTTGTTCCTTCCTTGTACAAGAAACGAGAAGTTTAACCGATTTTTGACGAGCGCGTCGCCCATTTCTTTCTATGTTCTGTGCGCCCAGCGCACGCACCCAGACGGTAGCCCTAACAACGTTTGGTATATTTGTTACGGTCAAAGTGATAAATGTGAAAATTATGAATAATCCCCGGTTATTATGAATAATTACCGCATGATTTGATAAATGTGATTAATATGAGATCAATTATGTGTGTATAAAACTAAATAGGCGGCTTAGGGGTGGCCCAAGGGCCACCCCCGCCGCACCTTAACCTATTTTTCACTTTAAATCAAAACATTATGTTATGGGCATCATGGAAAAGTAATATTATGCAAGAAACATTCCAAACTCATTATGCCAAATTATATTAATATGTGATATCAAAACGTTCAAAAATTTTGGCTGTACAAGAGCAGGTATACAAGATGTTGTTCTCTTTTATGATATTTGTTAGTACTAAGGTTGAATGATTAAATAATCACTGTTAAATGTTATTAATTTATCACTTTTACCGCGAGTGTCGGTAATTATTCATAATAACCGGTTATTATTCATAATTTTCAATTTATCACATTAACCGTAACATATTCATTGTTAATTAAGTAATCAAACTAGTTAAGTTAGGATCATATGGACAATGGATATCTACTGATGTCTGTTACATAAAGCTAAGTAGATAAATACTATATCTTCTCATCAGTATCGGTGTCTCGCTCGGTATAACTTTTAGCTTTGGTGGCAGGCAGACATTAAGAATAGGTACTTTTGTTCCGACTAAAATCTTCAATCGCCTATCCATCCTATCGATTCAATTTTCCGTATAATGCTATTGTTGAATATTTTTCTATCCTAGGCATTGTTCTTCGTCCACAATGCCTAAATAGTTAAAACAATGACGTAAGCGATATAAAAAGGTAATCTAGGCATCTGGGCCAGCTATTTCATTATTGTGTCGGTGGTGATCTAGTCAAGATGATGAAAAGAGCTTTGATATTCGTCTTATTTGGAGTAGTTTGGCCGTACGAAAAATCTACGATATCTTATTGCCTGTGGCATAATAATTCATGTAAGTTTTATTGTCTATAATTATTGAAAAATATTTCTTATAAATATGAAATAAAACATAATCCCCATTACTAGGCATTCCTTAGTTAGTATATTCAAATTTAACCGTCGCGTCGCGCGCGTTGCTAACATTATCAACTAGCATTTTAATTATTCGCGTTTTCTTAATATTAGTGTTAAAAATGGTTTATTTCTGTAACTCCCTAACTAGTAATAATGGCTTAAAAACACATTTAATACACATCGGGTAGTAACACCAAAAGCCTAAAAACTACGGCTCTTGAAACAACTTGCTGATAATTTACTTTACTATTACAGGTGTCGACTTTTGTCCAGAATGGATGGTGGAAGTGAAGAGTGATTGCGCCCAGTCTTATTGGAAATCGCAACGCACATGCGAACATCCTGACGCAATGTTAGTGGGTACGGTCTGCGGGTTCAGCCGCTGCGACTGCCCAGAGCACACAGTGCTCGACACTGAAACTGGATACTGTTACGACGTTGATAACTGCCCTACAAAGCATTCGGAATAAAAATAACGATAAAAATAATTCAAAAACTCACAATTAATTATTTGTTTCCGTTTCCGCACTGTTTCTGAACGATAAAGTCATTTTTGACATTGACAGCTTAATCATCTGTGCTGTGACACTGACATTGACAGGTCTTTATTGACAATTTGCAGGACAGAAAAGCATTAAAGTTTTACATAATTCCTAACAAATAACGCAGATTTCATCCTTCTGTGAGTACTAATCAAAAGTAAAACAATGCTCCGTCTCTGCCTGCAAACCACTTGTTTCCAATCCAAATCATTATTTCAACATAACCTTCATAAACAGATAAGTTCGAAATTAAAATGCATCGGTGTTTGTCACAACAACGTATTTCGCCAGTTATCTACTGATTCTAAAGAAGAAGAAGAGCTGGAGCATATTTACTCTGGTCCTCTCACGCCGCAGATTAAGGCTGTGAAGATTTTTTCACTTACATCTAGTGTAGCAGGGCTAATGGCACAACCTATCATAGTGAAGCAAGCAGCGACCATAGGCAGCACATCTCTTCTCGTGGTCATTTGTTCGATGGTCGGATTTTTTACATTCATCACTCCACTACTGCTGCACTTTGTTACCAAGAAGTATGTCACAGATATGCACTATGATCCTTCGACTGGAATTTACAAGGCCACAACGATAAACTTCTTCCTGGTAGAAAAAGAGGTAAGCCATCAGCCATCTAGCATAAAGGAATGAGCTGTTAATCATGTTAGTTATTAGATTATGATTCTTAACCCTTAACCGCCTACCATACGTCTCACAGACCCTGTCGATATAATAATTGTGAATATTTTTGCGCTGGAGTGTTGCATCGACTCGTTAGTTTCTGTACCTTTTCCCCGCGCCCCTCAGCACCGCACAACGGCTTGTCGAGGTTGGATGTGCGCGCGTTTGCTTCAGGTGAGTAAATAAATACCAGAATGGGTCTGAGAGACCCCTGTTAGGAGGTTACGTAATTTTTTGTATGAGTGTTTTTTTGATTGTTTTAGTTATAATGGCTCTTAGTGAAGCTGAAATTGAACGTTGGTTGAACAAGATCTGCCAGACGATGAAAACATACCAAACGACTAATGCAGCGATGTGGAGCCGGTTGAAATTAATCTTGTGCTGGAAGAAAGTAGCGTGTCTGATCTGATTCCGAATGCGAAGGCTCAACAGTAATGCAAATAAACTCTCCATCACAATGTGATATTCCCTCAGTAAAATTTACAAAAAAACGCAAAACACAATACATGTCTTTCGAATGCAAAGCGCCAATTTGCCTCGAATGTTCGAACAATATGAGTCTGGATTGCCGTAAAAAACTCTAAGTTTAGAGCCTGCAATTTTTATTAATTGATTATAATAACGAGTTTTATTTTTTTTATTCTAGTTCCTTGTTGATTGAATTATATAAAAAATATAAGAATAAGTTCCTATCACTTTAAATATTTTTTAGGATCTCATTTTCTATAAGTAATAGTAAGTAAGCCAAAAATAAGAGATTATGCTAATTATTCGGAGTTTTTGTAAAAGTATCGTTGATTTTCACATTCTTCTTTTTTAAAATAAAGAGTTTAATCATTTTCATAACAGAATTTTAAATTAAATGTGTACCCTCCCTTAATATTTATCGTAATCGTATCATTTTTTATTCTGGGGTCCCACAGACGTATGATAGGCGGTTGTGTGACAATAATATGTGCTAGGTGGTTAAGGGTTAACAAATCTTTGTTTCCTTTGCAGCTGGAATTTAAAAGTGAGGATGTGACTGTCCCTGATATTCCTGGAATGTTCACCACCATGCATGCCAAAGGCAAGCCCCTGTTCATTGAAGCAAGGCACTTCAGCAACCCTCTCCATTATGCCAAAATTATGGGCTACGACAAACCAATGGACTTCAAATTAGGGGAAGTTGAGGAGGAAGAAAGAAAATAGTTGGTAAATCATGTTATGTTGTAAATTGTAAAGTGTTGTTAATATCCATCTCTCTGTAGTCTGTAAGTAGGTTCTCATTTTTGTGCTACAAATCCTGAGTTGGGCAAAATTAAATTGAAGATGAAAATTGTGATTATGTTAGTTTCTTATGTTCAGAAAAAGGTAATAAGAATAAAAAAATGTATGCCCAAATGCTTACCATAAACAGATAGTATTGTGAGAGATGTAAATTTTGGATTAACTTGTGGTCACATTAAGTTTGTTATTCACTTCAGTGTGTATACCAGATTAATACTAAGAATAAAAGCAATGGAAACATGTTAAAATATCTTTATTTCATTCTGACATTTCAATTATACCAACAATCTGCAAGTATAAACTACCATCTAGCACTTCTCTGTATTTCGACTAGACAGTGACATCATTTAACACAGTCATTCACTAGCATCTATTGAAGCCGAGTTAAATTGCTCTACAATAAAAGACAATGCCGGAAATTGGCGTCTTTTTTTTTTCGCGCGGCCATCGACCAAATCATGTTTTTTAGATACAAAATAGTGTAATAAACCAAACTTACTATGACATGTATACCTCTAAACTCAGTCTGAACTGAGTTACGAGCATCAGAAGTTTGATGATTTACATACTAGATTTGCTTTTTGCGCGCAAGTTTTGTAAGAAATTGCAACAAAATAGTGACATTGTATGTGTGAACAAACAATACCATCTATTAAAGGCTCCAGACATCAGTGTGGAGCAGAATCAGCGCAATAAAAAATTAGCGCAATATTTTGTTGCAATTTCTTACAAAACTTGCGCGCAAAAAGCAAATCTAGTATGTAAATCATCAAACTTCTAACGCTCGTAACTCAGTTCAGACTGAGTTTAGAGGTATACATGTCATAGTAAGTNATTTAGGTTTTAGTTAACAATATTGAATTCATTAGCAGTCACAGTTGTAAATGCTCACCATAATGGAATGATTTGTCTTTGAACTTTATGCATGTGATCACTTCATTTTTGATTTTAAACATTTCATTAAGAATGTGAAAAATTAAATAACACTTTCTTATCTCATGCTTAAGGACTAGATTATGCATAATCATTCTTCTTTAAATCATAAATTACTCTTATTTACAAAATGTATAATAACCTTTTTAAAATTTAGCAGCACCTTTACATTCCATCAATATAAAATATCATCTAATATCATTATAACAGATATCAAATTACATTCACTAGCACAGGTGATATTTTCCTTTACTAAGCAGCAATTTCATCTATTTTTCTCAAAGCAAAGACAAATTTTAAGTTCCACATGTAAAATTATCACATTAACTACTTAGGGTGTGTTTATTTTAAAAGCATTTACAATTTCAGTAATTTTGGTTACAAACATACAACAATCTACATAACCCTGTATTCAAGTATCATCTCATAGTAACTGTATCAAATAAGAAAAATAGAATAACCTACATGTCTAACCATTATGTTGTAAAAATGATAATAATTTACACATAGGTAAACATTATGAAATAACTGCTTATGTATAGTTATTCGCACTCAAGCTGCTGTTTTTAATTAGTATTCGAAATAAAGCAAATAAATCTGAATAAAATCAACAAATAATAAAACCTTACACTAGGCATATGTATAAACAACATTCTCTCTGGTATTTATGGTCACAGCAGTCTTAACTTATAAATATAATATTTTTTTTAGTCTGTAAATATATAGAATACTTAAAATCTCTTTAAAAATATTACAAAAGGAATGTTTGATTTAGACACAACATCAGTATTAATTTTATACAACTGTAGCTATTACATTGGTATAAAATGATGTGATTTAGAATCCAAATGAAAAACATTTTGATGACTGTGATATACATATTACTTAAAACTATATTAAAATACTGTTAGCCAATGGTTATATGAAGAGAATACTCACACACATTAATATTAGGAATAGTTACACATATGATATGACTTACACTAAAGTTAAATTAGTTAGTAAAATTAATTAATATAGGGTATTTGAATAAAGATAGACCAAAAGTCAAAATTATCACATAAGTCTAAATAGATGCTAAATAAAAACATGTAGCGTCATTTTAAATAATATATTTTTTCCGGAGCTATTGACGCTATTCTTTAATTTTCATAATAGTTTATTACTATTTTAAAGCGGCATTAAAAATAGTAGCCTTCATTCTGGAGTCAAACCTCACATTGGCATAACTACGCTTTTTTTAAGATCAAAAATTATTCTACTTGATAATGATATAAGGAACGTTTGTATAGTCTTCATGTGGTAAGAAAAAAAAACAGGTGTCCTCAAAAAAGCCTCCATAACTCATTTACCAAAAAATCCACAAATTAGAATACATAAATGTCATTCGATTTAGGTCTAATTTTGGAATGTTTCATTGATAACTAAAATAAGTTTTCTTTTTAATCCCAAGTAAACAAAAAGAAGAATATCGCCATGTAAACGTTTTGAAAAGCATGTAAGTATGGGATATGTTTAGGTATCGGGCTTTATCTATTTTGTACACCAAAAAGAGAATCATTAAAAATTAAATAATGCACGGGATCCATCAAATCGCATGATTCTAAAAATCAAAACAACTTCCTTACCATAGAATACATAAACATAGATAATCCAGCCGATGCAAACGAATCGATGTTGTTACACTACGACCGAACTAAAAGATGTACAGGTAATTAATTGGGTATTTGCCACCACTCCCTAATAATTCTAAAGCACAACTTTTTTTAAAAGGCACTTCATTCTGATCTTAAAAAATTAATTAAGATTATTTGGTTGCATTGTACCTAATTAAAAAAGTAATTCAATTGAGTTGACAAAATAATGACGTCACTGGCTAGTATTGCCATACAAAATCTATAGGAGTCTCGTTTTGACAGTTTTAAAAAGTACGTCAACTGATTGGTGGTGGCAAACACCCTATTCATCCTATGCAAACGAATCCAATGTAATATAGTTAGGAGGTGGTTCAGTCGTAATGCAGCGCATTATCAGCAAGCGCGTGCGCCGCAGGATTAATCTTGTCGTCGATGGCTTCCAACGCTTGGGTCCGCGCGCGCGCCCGCGCTCCCCATTCCACGCGGCAGAAGGAGGCTGTGCCAAGCGATGCGAGGACTGCCAGGATCACCAGTTGCACTGATAGGTACGCGCGCGACGAGTAGAAGAAGCAAGCTGCTGCCGCCATTGACTGGGGAGAAATCATCATCTTTAGTCTCTAATTCAATAGCACGATTTACGGCGCGCACGCACGGTTACTTTTATCACCGTGACAGTATGTCTGTCTCTCTTTCTCTTTATAAATGTAAAAGAAACATATACTATTATCACGGATAATACTGCCACGGCGACAAAAGTCACTCGTGCGCGCACGCCTTTATCCTACACTCCCTCCCTACGCTATTGCTTTTGATATTCTTTTTGAAAAGTATTCAGTGATATTGTCGCCGAATATACAGGGTGTAAGAAAATGGCAATATTTTTATACATGCTGCATTTTCGAGACACAAACTTAATATTACGAAATTGTTAGAATACTCGGTCAGCTGCTAAAAGCGCGCCAAAAAAACGTATCAGTCAACTGAAAATCGTTGGGTACTACCCGTACTCAATAGCATGGGAGCAATTTTGCCTCACAGTTAAAGAAATTAAAATGTAATTAGTACAAATAATATGGATATCGTTTGCCATAAAAATGGCACAAATGACTATTAATAAAATTTCACAAAAAATATCGTCTCATATTGTGGTTTTTCGATTAAAGTATATTGTACTATTAAACTGACATCATTAATGTGTGTTATGCAAATGAAAACGCAGTTTAAAACACTATTTATATTTAATTAACCCACAAATGGTTCATAACATGATGGAATGTTACAGAATAAATTGCGGGTTATCAATCTGTCCATAGTATTGCAACTTTGACATCAGCGATGCTTCTGGTAAATCCCAATTAGCCTCATTTTAAATGTATTTAATATACTACATTTAAATACACTATTTACATACTAGTGATTGTGCATGACTTCGTCTGCAAATATTGTTTTGACCCTCAATTTGCGCGAGGACGTTATCGAAATAAATATCAACATAGATAAAGTATACTAGATAGACCGTGAGCTAATTTTGCGACTGATAGCCTCCGTGACTCCGATTACAAATTCACTGGCCAATGTCAAGTCTAACAACATCACAGATATCGCATATCCATTCATATTATTTATGCATAAATGTTTATTCTTTTTGTTTATTTATTTGAGTCAACGACCAATAGTCGAAATATGACTTTGGGTCATCATCATTTACATTGTCAGTTTAAATACTTAATATTTTCATGAATAGAATTGTTTTTATTTCTTCACACAGTTTTTTTGTACACTTACTTATCTTGTTCTTACGAAGCAAGAAGAGTAAATAAATGAAACTAAAGCGAAAAAGTATGCCCATTTCCTCCTAATATGTGGATTATCTGCAGAGAGATCACTCCTGACTTACTAGGAGTATCTATACAGGGTGGAAACGTTAAGTGATCTCACTCGATTATTTCTTATCTATACAAGATATTGAAAAACTGGTTACTGATCCTGAAAGTGCTTCATGAGCTCTTTCAAATGGTACCAATAATAGGTTACAGAATAAACTGGATCTATCTGAAAATTCAATGTTTCCCGCTTCCATACTAAATGTATGCCAGACACACAATATTAGAAGTGTATTTTTTAAAATTTAATAATAAACTCTTAAAATAAACTCGTAAATTGTATTCTTCTTTAAAATTATTCATGTAAAATATTAGTTTTAGGCTTTACTTGCTATAATATTGTTAAGAGATGAGTGTCATGACTGTGGTAGTACTAAATGTATGGAAGAAGGAAACATTGAATTTTTGGATAGATGCCGTTTATTCTGTAACCTAATATTGATACCATAGGATAGAGCTTGCGAAGCACTTTTAGAATCATTAATCAGTTTTACGATATCATGTGTAGTTTTTAAAATAATGTGACTTTACCAAATGTATGGAAGCGGGAAACATTGAATTTTCGGATAGATCCAGTTTATTCTGTAACCTATTTTTAATGCCATTTGATAGAGCTCATAAAGCACTTGCTGGATCAGTAACTAGTTTTTTGATATCATTTATAGTTTAGAAATAATCGAGTGAGATCACTTATCGTTTCCACCCTGTAGAAACAGATCATTTATCAACGTCTTAAAGTATTTATGTCAAAAACCTTTGATGTCAAAAAAGATTAATTTAGCTTACCTGAGTGAACTTGAAGAGCGCAAAGGCTGATGTGCTCTTGTCAGAATAGTTTCCTCCGAGGATCGAGTATATCTGGGTATTGAAGCACGCATCTCCAAAGCCTAGTAAGAAACTGCACAGCATAGCCAAGTATGGCGATGGGTTGATGTAAGACACTTCGTTGGTGTCTCCGAAAGGAGCCTCATTGGGCAAGTTAATAAAGATTAGGAAGAAACTGCTCAGGTGGATCACGTAGCCCATGATGACGATCGGGTCGCGGCCCCAGCGAGTGGTCTTGTTGCCGAGGATACCGAAGAGAGCTCCACCTGAAATAGAGAAATTGTGTGTGTTATCAGGACTGTTTACATTTTTCGTTCTCTGCTGTTGCAACTCTTGTGTGGCCAGCCCCCCTAGACAAAACGCACTTTTTGATCGAATCGAAAATCGAATCCGTCAAAACTCCATACAAAAAAGGGGCTTTTCGACCACTTTTCGACTGGTTTGCGATTATAATTTGCACTTTGTCTAGACCCACAGGATCTAGCTCCGCCAATAGGAACCCTACCAATGAAAGCCAAGTACGACCCAGTGGAAAGTTAAACTGTCATTGGACCCGCAACGAATTAAATACTACTATGCTTTATGTAAATTGTCTTACAACATACGCGTTTTGTAAAGTAATGATCTTCCTGTATTCACTCACTTTACTTGACTGATACTTACATAAAATTACGTAATAAAGTTGTAAGTCATTGCATACAATCTAGATCTCCAATTAGTTGTGTAAATTACTTGCCGACTCATCTCGGAAAAAGTTAAATTACGAATTGGTATAATCTATACTTATAATAAATCTGTAGAGAGGTCAATTCTGTACATGAAATATATTTTCAAAATAACTATCAGGGGGTGATTAGTGATCGATACTGATGCCAAAAATGCAATCAGTAAAATTTTTGTCTGTCTGTCTGTCTGTCTGTCTGTCTGTCTGTCTGTCTGTCTGTCTGTCTGTCTGTCTGTCTGTATGTTCCTTATAGAAACAAAAACTACTTGACGGATTTTAACGAAACTTGGTACAATTATTCTTCATACTCCTGGGCAGGTTATAGGATACTTAGGAATTCCCACGGGAACGGGCATTAGCGGGAAAATCCTTTTGTATGAAAAATCTAAACCGCTTAAGTTAGACGCTTGAAATTTAGCAAGCAGGTACCTTAGTAAACTTAAAGCTTAGTTATAACAGGATATTGCAAAATTCTTACGGGAACGGGAGTTAGCGGGAAAAAACATTTGTATGAAAAAATCTAAGCCACTTAAGATAGACGCTTGAAATTTGGCATGCAGGTACCTTAGTAAACTTAAAGCTTAGTCACAACAGGATATTGCGAAATTCCAACGGGAACGGGAGTTAGCGGGAAAAAACATTAGTATGAAAAATTCTAAACCGCGTAAGATAGATGAAGGGGGTAAAACGGGTTCCACGCGTACGAAGTCGCGGGCGGCCGCTAGTAATAGAATGTACTGGGTATTGTTTTCGAGATGTGCAAGTAATCTTTACAAAGACGAATACGATCATATACCAGCATGTTTCTATGTAGCAAGAATAATCGGTAACGCTATGCAGTAAACTCGAGTGTTGATAAATGTTCGATCAATACATAACAGGCTGTTCCAAGGAAATACACAATAAGCAATATGATAGTTAGGTCAATGCTATGTATTCACGAAAACGGACAACAATAAATATTTAAGGACGATGAACTTTTCAATCAATATTTGGAATTTGAACCTAAACTTACTTATTGTGATAAGAATAATATAATATTTACGTACTGTAAACAACCTGCAAGAAATTCGTAAACGCGAATTCTGTACGCTCAGTGTACCGTGTAAGTTATACAGCTGCGTGCAAAAACTACTCACATTTAAATATTCGTCTCATAACAAAAATTCTGTATGTATGTAATTACTATTTGCATTTTGTCTTTGCTGTTTCCACATAAGCCTAGGCGCAGCGACCACCGACTTTTAGTTGGGCCCGTTCTAATTTATATAAGGAATCGGCCGATACCAAATCGGTGTAGTCTGCGCACTTCTATTCTACTATACGTCGTGTTCATTGTTCATATCAACATCCCGACCCAACTATCAGCTAACTAAAATCGGTGGTCTGCGCCTAGACTAATAGTGACAATATGTATATTGAGCATTGAGTTTCATATTTTATAAAAGTTCTGTATTCACTTAGTGACATTCTTTCTATATTATCATTACATATTAATTACCTTAAGGGGGTCCTGCACANAAAAGTTATTACGTTTTCTTTACAATAAGTAATCGGAAGGAAAAAAAATCTATAATTTTTTTTTAAAAAAAACCCCCCAAAAATTTTTGACCTCTTTTTTGTCGATAAGAATAGCTTTAGTTTCACCTATTTTCATATGTGTACTTTATCGTGACTCACACTGTATAAAGAAAATATGCTAAATAAGTAACGCAAAATAATAAGCGAAGTGAAAAAAGAAAGGAGAAGTTTAATATTACTGTGACAAACTGAATTTATATGGTTAAAACCGCGAGAAAAAGCAAGTACCTACGTAATAATAATGAATTACCAATTTTAAAAATAAAGCAGTTACTTTAACCCTTTTTTCCATTCTTCAGTGTGTGGTTTTGTTCAACAACAACGCTCATCTCAGAGGTGGTAGTATACACGACACTGATGCCAAAAAATTTTTTTCATGAAAAAATCAAACCAGGAAAATGGTAGATATTATTTCGCGGACGAGCTATCGGTCAGTCCCCCCGCTCTCTCGGGGTGGCGGCCGCATGTCGACTACAGTACAAAGTATACACGAATTTTGCGTACTGAATACAGTCGTGTTTAATGTATTGTGGATGCTCGCTTCTCCGTTTCAAACTATACTACACCACTTACACTTGATAAGAGTGTTAAAAAGTTAGTTTAATACTTATTCAGTAAAATATGGAATTACATTCAAGAGTATTTTTATTTCTTAAATATATTTTATCGAATCAATATAAAACTAGATATTTAACACTCTTGCGGGTAAGTGGTTTTTCAAAATAAACTGATTAGGTAGGATTAAATAAATAAACATTTTTATTTAGAGTAGTAGGTACGCGGTATTTGCGTAACTGCTCATACAGTTTGGAAGAGTTTAGTAAAAAAAAGTTATTTCCAAACTATACTCGATTAGTTTCACATCCTTGCGTTCTGGCCATGTATAGAATGAAAAGACGCTACGTTAACAACTTATTTGAATTGAACGTCTAGGAAAAATACTCTTTTACGAAACTTTTTTAACGCCTTTGTTCATCAGAAGAATCAATATTAGTTAGGATTTTTATTGTGTACAATAATTTTCGCAGCAATACCAACAAAAAATTTAATCCTTTCTTTTTCCTAAATAAAGTATTATAAACTCACGTTTTGTTTAGCAAAATTAGTGAAATACGTGTTTTTACTCTGTATTGAGTCTCTTTTGTCTCTACTCTGTAAAGTAGTTCGTGTGCGATCGTGTTAGTTCGTTGCGCCACCGCTATCTCGGCTAGCAAATCGTAATTTTTCGTCGGCGCTGCACCCCCTTAAACGACATGTAGATTCAGTTTAGCAATATCAAATATGATTACATCTCCTTGTCAATGCAGTACTTTTTATCTATAATCTGACATAAGTCGATTACCAAACTGATAAAAATATTCACTCAATTCAATGTTACAAATAAGGATTAAAGTGGACATCAAACGATATCACATATCTATCCTTGTGTGAAATCTCAAGTGGCAGATTAAACTATCGGCGTTCATACATCTACGTAGATATACAAAGTAGGTAAGTTTGTTGATATTGAACGCTTCGAAATAACAATCCATTGTAATGCGTTTCTCAATGTTATCGTTCTTGCGTAAATAACTATCGGGAAATTACCGGTTAATACCAACGTAAACTTAATCGATTAGTTTATTTTTATAATAGTAACTATAAGTCTGGCGCTTATTCCTGAGGTTTGGGAGTGACACGGGAGGGGTGACATTGACATATTATGACTTGACAGAGCATGCAAATCTGAAGCACATATTTTGAAGTCTCGCTGACGTTTGACGTCCCTCCCGTGCCGCGTCCATACTTCTGACGGTACTGACTGAATTAACCTATAGCTGTGTCCGCGATTTCGTACGCGTGAAAACCGTTAGAATATTTTTTCATTGATACTCTGCTCGTATTGGTTGAGAGATAGCACATAGGATAGCCTTCTTCCATAAATGGGCTATCTAACACATTTTTTTTAAAAATCGGACTATAGTCTGGTCCGTGAGCACGTAGAATTTTGAGCAATGACCTCTAGCTACCCATCCTTATCGCTCGCGTGTAATTATGATGATATCGCGCTCGCACATTCACTGCGGGTGTCAGTCGCGACAGCAATACAGCAATACAGCAGGGTCATTGGACAAAATTCTACGTGCTCACGGACCGGGCTTTAGTAGTTTCTCAGATTATCACGTTCAACCAAACAAATAAACTCTTCAGCTTTATAACAGTAGTAAGTATAAATAACTTACCAAGAACTTCTCCTAGACCGATGAAGACACCAGAAAGGCCGACCAGTTGCTTCGCGTTTTCGCCCATGGCCAGTGTGAAACCAATGCTCGGACTGTACACACCACTGAAGAAAGACAGCTCCACACCTGTAAACATTTATAACACAATTTACACGATTTGATTGATGCGATTTTGCAGTAATAAATTCGAATTGACTAATCAACCGTTTCTTTTAGTTTCTACAACTTCACACGAAGTCATCAATCAAGTTCATCCATGTACATCGTTTCATCCACGAAGACGCGCCCCATCATTCTTCCGCTAATGTTCGAGTGTTATCGAAACACGCTAAATTATCCATGAGTGCACACGCACACAAAAATTGGTGGGGCGCGTCTTCGTGCATAAAACAATCTAGTATTCAAAAATTGCATAATGCTAACCAAACGGGCAAAGTTGAAGGCAAAATCACTTGCACCATAATATAGTATTATTATGTCGACGACATTATTACTTTGTTTGGGTTTTACAACTTTTTTAGGGTCGATTTCAACATAACCGAAGCGACTTATCCGTTTTAACATTTAGATTTGTGTTAATTCTTACGTTCGGTCGTAATCTTGGGAGTCATAAAACGAAAATGTATGTATGTTAACCCTTTATAGCAGAGGAAATTACCACCATATTTGTAACCTTATTACCATATCTTAAGGTCCAAAATAATCTTGAGGTGACATTTTACCTCAGCAGATTAAATTCCCAACATATTGTATACCTTATTCCCATGTCTTAAGGTCTAAAATGGTCTAGATAAAGGGTTACCTGTGTAGATGAAGGTGACACTGAGCAGTAGCATGTCTCTGGTACAGAACAGCCTCAAGGCTCCCTTGAAGGCTTCCATAGGGCCTTCCTCTTCGCTTCTACCCAATTCCGTCTGAAAATCATTGACAATGAATAAAATGCTAGGCCAAAGTCATGAGCTAATGTTATTTAAATTAGTTCTGTCTAGGTGAAGTTTATTAAATTGGTTACTTGCCTACTGAATAATTTATTATCTAATAGAACCGGTTCAAAATACTTTAGTTAAATATTGAATTTATATATTTTCTCGTAAATAGTAAGAGAGACACATTCATGTACGGTAGGGCGGATACAAAGTTAAGTTAACCCTCTATAAGCCACCATAATATAACCTTATTCACTTTTCATAAAATCGAAAGCAATGACAGGTTTACCCTATGGAAGGATAAGTCATTCAAAAACTGACCTTGGCATCTTCCAAAGTCGGCGACCGCCTGGTAGGCCTCAGCAACAGCAGGAAGACAATACCAACAGCGCAAACCCCAGTTAGCGCTCCAAAGACTACATTCCGGGTCTCTACATCGATGTGGCTCTTGCCTTGGAACTTTATAAACACGAACAGATTCCCGAAGAACAAACTGGAACAAAACACAAACGGTCAATAATTGGTTTAGGTTCCCCACAGACTACAGATTTTGGTCGGCTTCTAATACAGACTCTTCATACAAAGAGGTATCGGTCGATATCACAAACTGATTAAACTACTGGCCGACAAAAAGTCTATCGTCTGCGGGGACTCTAACGGTCAATAATTGATTTCAAAGTCACGTACCGAAATACTAATTTTGGTTATAATGGCAGTAAAGGAAATCAACGCGTTAGCCTATTTATTCCGCAATAAAGACAGACAATAATAAAAGCTAGTTTTAATCATTGAAATATGAATTTAAACGTAACCTTATTTTTAAAATGAGTAGGTATGGGCTATAAGTTTTAATGAGTCATAACTTTTTGCTGGCATTCTTGTTAGACCAGCCGAAATTCATCTAGCTTCAGTCAGATTACGAGATGTAGCGCTTACAAATAAGCAAACTGTCGACATTATTTTGGAATACACCATAACTAAAGATATGCAGTAACATGTATGTTTTCACTACTAATAGTGTTGTTAAGAATATTATTATTATTTATTATTGGTTTTGGGCCTTTATTTGCGCCAGCTCGACCAGGTTTGATCTATTGTGGCAGCCCTTGTCTTTAGAGTTCACTGCTTAGTCCCGTTGAGTCTATAAATTTCCAGATTCTTTGGAGCGTGATATCTGCTATCTCATCCGGGTGCATGATGTGTCGCCCGAGATGGATACTTCTTTTGCTCATAAGCGGGCCGCATGAGCAAAGAACATGCATGGCCGTTTCTTCTTCTGAATGGCAGAATCTGCACAGAGTTTCCTTGGTCATGTTCATGTTTGATTTGTGTTTGTTTAGTTTGCAGTGGCCGGTTAGTAAGAATATTAAGTTAGTTAACCAATACAGGCCAGCAGTGGCGGCAGTGAAGTAGCGTTCCTCGGATCTCGAGTTGGCCAGTCTGACAACTTCCCCATTCCGCTATAGTCGCTCAATTAACAGATATATCCAAAATAGAAAGAAAAAATGTAGTTTGTATCTAAACACTACCTGCACTGGAGCATAGCCCAGAAGACTCCAGAGTTCCTGGATATAGTGTCTGCATCGCTGTTCAGCGTGAGGTAGTTCCCTTGCCCCGTCCAGATGGCGGCTGCGCCTGCGCCGATGCACACGCTGGCCACGTATAGCAGCCATGTGCGAGGGAACAGGAACGTTATTATGAAGAATCTGGAAAGAGGGAATCAGGATTAACACGAGCTTTTTCAACCCAGTTAGCTATTTAACATTGGGCAGAATCGATGAACATTAACCCCCTTATTAATATAAAGTTACACCCTAGTTGAACACTTTTAAAGTAACATTTCCATACTAAACGTCACTTTAAAACAGGGTTCAACTATGGTGTAACTTTTACTAATAAGGGGGTAAGGTTATAAACACTACAAAAACTTGACCTAAAAGATTCGCAGTTCAATTTATTCCGATCCGATCAAATTAATAAAGAGTGCGTAATGTGTCAGTAGTTTCAAAATACGAGTAGTACCATAATGCAACAACCTACACTTAGATGCCAGAATGTTCAGCACAATATTTGTTCTGCCATCGTAATTAATTCTGTAGGCTGTAGGTATTTGATGTTAGTGTAGATGTTAATTTGATGAGGAACCAAAAAACTGGTTAGGGACATTTTGTTGAGTGATTTCATCCAAAGAATAGTAAAGTCAAAACAATATTGCAGGACTTTACCAACACAAAGTTAGTAAAATTTGCGTCATCCTGTATGAATAGCCATACCATATTGATTGCCCAACAGGCTTGGACGAATCGTCCAAGCCAACAGGGTCTTTAATCGTTTGTGTAATAAAACGATACTATCAAAACCACTTCATGATCCCGACTTGAGTGCAATTAATGATAGAGATGCGCTAGATTTTCAAAAGTCAACTAGTTTAATCAATAAGTAAATGATACACTGCTTGAGTAGTGTATTATTGTGACGTATTATTGAGAGGTCGAAAAGGCCATCGACTTTTTGTCCTTTCGAAAGTGCGACCTTAAATCTTGACGGTGCCATAAATTGAAAAGGTATAAAACGGCTTTAATAACATAATACGTAATATACAATTTGAATGACTATATTGGATAGTGTGCAATATGACATCTTATGCACACTTGACCAAATGACGCACATTATGTGTTAAGTTACGAACTTGCCCAGGTACCCTCCTTGACCTGATCATGTCACATATTATCATACTGTTTTACGACTCCAAGTATTATTCCACTTTTATTGGTTTATACATAAAACCGTATTATTATTACATTTTATTTGACAGCAGACGCTATAGCAATAAAGTAAAATCAAAATTACACAGGAAAATTTTATTAAAGATACACTAGTACATTAACTGTATTGCGTAATTTATACAAATCACTTAAATAATGTATAGTCAGCGTCAAAAAGTTCGTGACACTCAAAGTAGCCAAAAAGTTCGCACCACGTCTGTGTTACATTGGCAGGTTGTGTTATCAACTTTTTGGTTACTTTGTGTGTCACAAACTATTTAACGATGACTGTATTATTACATATTATTATAGCTAATTCACATAAAGATGAGTAATCACGCATGTCTTTTTAATTACTAGAACAAAAGATGCAGCACGTGGCTTATATTGACCCTCGTAAATAGGTCCTAATCACACACTGCCCGCTCAACCTTGTCCAAATGTTGGTGGACACAAATGATAATAAATTGTAATGCCATTCAAAACGTCAGCACCAAATTGTCTAGGATATTAATTATTTATGTTACCATAACACCTAGTGGATATTAAATTGACTCTTTATTATGAAACTGCCACTCTCATACGTCATTTAACATAATAATATAACAATAATTAATTTATTCCTTTTATACATAAACATTACATATTAATACTAGGTTACAGTTTAGTTTTGAATAGAATGAAAAAAATAAACATTTCGGTGCTTCTGTCTAAGGCAGAGAGATGACTAATTAGCTAAAAATGTCATGGTCGAGCTTAAATTATGTAACAGAGTTTTTTAATTAACGCAGCGACATATTATTCTACATTTCTACGAGATGATTCTTTGTAATTAATGTCATGTAGAGTAAATGTCATCAAATAATCCTCAAATCATGTTAAAATGAATATTACTACAATAATAAGAAAGCTTAATAAATAGTGCCTAAGCACTTTCTTTTTTATTTTGAGAATCTGGCGCATTATGGATTGATCTGAACTCTACCATACGAAAAGTGTCATCAACCTCTGAACGTAAAATAAGATGAGTTGTAATATGACAGTACCAACTTAATAAGCCTCATATGCATTTATAAGAGTTCTCGAATCTCAATAATTTGATGCTGGTGCTTGGGTTACATGTGCAATTTACACCGAAAAAACACTTTGCGATTATGAGGATGACACCAAATTATGCGAAAGTGGTTGGGATACTCATCGACTTTTTATGTATAAAATGCAAAACTGCACGAAGGTTGTTGCCACAGTTTTCCCTTCTAAAGCTGAGCTGCACCATCTAACTTTAACTTTGACAAACGTCAAAAATCTGTCAAACTCCATACAAAAAGCACCCGTTATTGTTACGGTTAAAATAAGGTGGTGCAACTCAGCCTAAATCTCCGAAAACTACTATCTATGTAGCTGTAACTAATTAAAAGCAAAAGTAGAGCAAGTGCAGTGTTCGTAACACTGTTAAAAAGTAAAGGGCTCTGAATTTTAATATTAGATACGCAGTTGTGCGCTAAATGAAGTGAAATGTTACCACATTCTGGCAGTGGGTGTGTACAACGCAAGCGAGCAACCTTGGGATCTAGCGAAGGATTTTTAGAAGGCATAGACCGACGCGGTCTGTAAATGTAATACAATAATAAACGCATATCACAGCCAAAACAACGCACAGTAAAACAATCTGCTTTGTCTATCAACGAAAACCTACGCAGTTCAAAGTAAACGAAGAGATAGTGATTGCAGTTCATAATTACACACAGTCATACAGGATGGACTTCTGCAATGAGACAGTAAGGGATGACATAAAGCCTTAAAGCAATAGAAAAGAGTTCATGGCACCCATTTTTTTCTAAACCCGGCAGTAATAGGTAATGTAGCCAGTTCCTTTGTGGTTAAGGATACAGGATGAAGATCGTTTGCGCCTTCAGCCTGATCATTACTTTCCATCAGATGAGATACAGGCCAAGAGCTTCCTTGTAAAAATAGAGATATGTATTATATGAAATCTTTAGTATTTATCTATTACTAGCTGACCCGGCGAACTTCGTACCGCCTTAGCGTAGAGATTTTCTTTATATTTTTTTTTCTGTAAAAACCTTGTACAGAGTATTAGAAAACTACAAAAAAAAATCAGCCAAATCGGTCAAGCCGTTTTCATGTTATGTCGTGACAACGGAAAACGGGTTTCATTTTTATATATATAGTAGAGGTGGGCGCCACGCCGGCGCGCCGCCGCCGCCGCGAATTTTTTCACGCCGCCGCCGCCGACGATCGGCTGTCGGCGCGCCGACTTCTATACTGCACTGACTATTTGGTTTTTTTACAAATGTTTGTACTGTGCGCGACCTCCGGCATAGTTTACGAGTGCTATGAACCACTACACCGAACGGCCGACACACTGAGTGAGAACCTTGCAAGTTCCTTAACTTTGGAAAATTATCCATAAGGCTGGAAAGCCGCCTAACAAAGTCTCATCCTATTGCTCTATTATCCTGACACTTGTATTGTCAAAATTGTGGGAAAGGACCATGCTTGGACGTTTATCCCCTTACATAAGTATGACCCATGTAATACAGGGTGTTTGGCGCATCGTGTGCCAAAATGATTTGGCGGATAGAATGGGTCATTTCCTATATTTTCAGCCCCCATAACACGTTCCATGCCAGGCGGCTACTTTTAAATTAATTTTTTTAGTAATTTCACCAAAATACCCAAATTGCATCATTTAATTTCGATTAAAAAAAAACTACTAGGCGTAGCCTCATAGTAAATATTTTATTTTGACGTGCATTGATGTAGGGTTGCATCAAATCTAAATTTACTGGCAAATATTATCTAGTTTTTTTTTAATTCAGCTTTAAAGTTTTCCGAAAAGTTAAAAATGGACTGAACATTTAAGTTTACATGGCTATAAAAAAAAATTTAAAAGAGATAGCGATCTTCGGATTTTATCAAAACTTCTCTAGTCTCTCCCCATTCAAACGGTATACTAATCTTGTTTAAATAATAACAACAACTTCACAAATTCCTTAAATTAGTGCATTGACTCTACTCGGACTGATTTGCGAAATTTGTGTTTATAGCCCCTTTNAATACTCTTTTACGAAACTTTTTTAACGCCTTTGTTCATCAGAAGAATCAATATTAGTTAGGATTTTTATTGTGTACAATAATTTTCGCAGCAATACCAACAAAAAATTTAATCCTTTCTTTTTCCTAATTAAAGTATTATAAACTCACGTTTTGTTAAGCAAAATTAGTGAAATACGTGTTTTTACTCTGTATTGAGTCTCTTTTGTCTCTACTCTGTAAAGTAGTTCGTGTGCGATCGTGTTAGTTCGTTGCGCCACCGCTATCTCGGCTAGCAAATCGTAATTTTTCGTCGGCGCTGCACCCCCTTAATATACTTACTTTTAGCATTAACTAAATAAATATGCATAGGGGTCACTTAAAAATTAGGAATTGATGGTGAAAACGAGCTTAAGAACAATAACTTGTATCATGTGTATTTAACATTCCTTATAATTATTGAAATAGGTTTCAATAATATTTAAGGTATTGTACATTAATACATTCATATTACTGGTTTTAAAATAAAAACATGATTTTCCCTTTCTGTCTAAACATCGCGAGATATCTAATGCTTATAATGATGACTAATATTGATTTGTTAAAGATACCTTTAGGAACTCATGTAGGTACAGGTTTTTTTTAAGTAGGTATATCTAAGTAACAAACAGGTTAACAGGCAAAAGTGATAGGTATTCAAATCCTATTTACTTCTGAGAGAATTTATTATGAAGACCAAGATTTTCTTTAAAGATACACTTTGAACCAGCACTTTTTGTATTAAATATTCAAAATCTAGTACAAGAAAACGGATAGGAAAATCCCTATAGGTTTTTAGTCTTAAAATCTTAGATGCTTTTTAGACTGTTAGTTTCATTTTCATGATTTTTTCTAAAAATTACTAACATGTCTCTTTTTTTTCTTTTATCATTTTCTAATGATAATGAAGTAAACAGATTTCCAGGTATTCCATCAAGTGACGCTCAATAAGTACTTTGAAAATTAAATTGAGTGCCGTATTTTATAAGTCACTCACCTTGGGAACCGAACGCAAAATTACTGTTTTTCATTTATATTTTTTAAGTGTTGTCTGGCGCCGTACCGGTACCGGAAGTGCTCGCGCCAACGAACCGGTTTCTGCCCGGTCCGGCAGTCGGGCCGATTCGTCGCCGGATCCGGTGGAAATCGACATCACAGAATCCTCGAGGCAGAGTAAATACAAATGAGTAGGTCATCTTCATAGAAACGCACCGAGCGCGGTTTGAATGTGAGCGCGCCAATACGTATGCGGCGCGCACCACACGCACACACTGACAAAATTTAGCGTGATTAGCGGCGAGTTGCGCCGAATTTTGTCAATGTGTGCGTGCGCGCTGCATACGTATTGGCGCGCTCACATACAAACCGCGCTCGGTGCGTTTCTATAAAGATGACCTACTCATTTATTAGTATTTACTCTGCTTGAGGTCTTGTCATGTAAGCCTACATAATAAATAAAACATGTACTTCAGTCCTCAATAAATAAACACAAGGTTGGTTAGATCGAGAAAGGAATGATCGAGTAAGCAAGAGACTCTTCGATTAACATTTTTTACCATAAAGAATACACGTTCGGACCTTTATACCTTTCTTTGTCTTTGGTAGACCTTGCTTCAAGGACCATTTAGTGTGCTCCAGCTTGACCGTCACATTATGTGAAACCACAACAAGTATTTTCTTGTGATAAAATAACGTTGCGGGTCTAATGACTGTTTTCCTTTTCCTGGGAGAAAAACTTGGCCATCGCCGGTTGGGTTTTTATTGAAAGAAAGAATAGAAAAAGTATTTATTTGATGCAAGTACGTACCTACATCCTTACAAAATTGGTGGTCAAGCTGTAGATGTAGGTTGCACAGGAGTTGCAGCAGTGGAAATAAAAGGTGGAATAAACTCCTTCGATAAAATACAAGGTTATTGTAAATCTCCTTTATTCTTCTGATCAAATTCGTTGCTGATTTCAAAACAGTATCTTCCGGGGCTACTCAACCTACAGTATTGCTTTACCCGAAAACCTCAACCGCAGAGGAAATGGCTATCTTACCTCCAACTGGCGACAATGTTATGGCGACAGACTTAGGTAAAATGGTAGCTAGCCAAGAGGTATTTACCACCAAGCAAACTGAGAATAAAAATGTGCTCGCACTGGGAATCAAACCCGGGACCTCTGAGTCTAAAGCAGGTCTGGTAAGACCAACCATTAGACCACGGAGACCTTTAAAAGATTATTAGCGGCGGTCAAAAGATACTCACTCAACCTTCTTTCCCTCGAGTTCCTCAAGGATGGTGAAAACAGCTACTTCCAACGATGCACTGCTGGACAGCCCCGCCCCCATGGGTAGGTCCGACACTATGACGGCATCGAAACCTCTCACACGACCTGGGGACAAACAGATAGAGTCAGCCACTTTGCTGGTTCAATAGGGATGTTGACTGGGTAATGAAGTCGAAATGAGGGCTATCGTTTTAGCGCTCACCAGTTAGCGCCACTGTAGAGTAAGGTCCTGTCACTTACTAGTAGCGAAGACAATGGCACCAACTGGTGAGCGCTAAAGTGGTAGGAAGACTATCGCATTTGCACTCATCAAGATGGCGCCACTGTAGAGTAAGGTCCTTTCAATCGCCAGGGGTGCCAACTATCTAAATATATAAAAGGAGAAACTGACTGACTGACTGACAGATCAACGCACAGCCTAAACGGCTAAACGTAGGCAAGCTAGTTAAGTATAAAAACGATAGCCCTCATTGTGTTTAGTCCGTACTCTTTTCTTCTTGTAGCTAGATACGCGGGAGCCATCTGGATACGGGCAGCGTAAGACCGGTTGTTATAAATATCCTTGGGGGAAACCTACAGTCGACGTCTGAAACTAACGTCTTAGCCAAAGGCCTCCCTTCTGGCCTTTGGCTAAAACGAACGAACTCTTTTCGACCTACATACATACATTTTCAATCATCATCATCATTTTAGCCATAGGACGTCCACTGCTGAACATAGGCCTCCCCCAATGCTTTCCATGTTGATCGATTGGTAGCGGCCTGCGTCCAGCGCTTCCCTGCTACCTTTACGATGTCATCGGTCCACCTAGTAGGTTCCGCTGCGTTTTCCGGTACGCGGCCTCCATTCCAGAACCTTTCTGCCCCATCGGCCGTCAGTTCTGCGTACTATGTGCCCTGCCCATTGCCACTATATTTTCAATAGTTTTCCTTTATTTACCTTCTTGTCTATAGTTGAATAAATGGTACCTATTTATTTAGAATGAGAAAAACACGTGTTAAAAAGCCTTACATTACAAAACTATCAGACTATTTACTTCACGCGTGAATTCATTTAGTTAGACCCTCTACAATAGGAAAATCCAGACACAGACGCACAAATAAGTATAATAGCATAATACACGTGTAGAGTTTTAGTGCTGCAACATTAGTATACTGAAATACTAATATTGAGCGAATTCCATGAAATTATCGAAGTTGTTTGAAAAAAAAAGAAACACGCGTTTCCATAATATATTTACCTACTGAAATACTAATATTAAACAAATACGATGACCGGACTGGTTTTTTTAATAAAACAAGCGCGCGTTTCCATAATATTAATGCTTTTCTCAGAACATATTTCAACTACTATAAAAAACTCTGTTTCAATTGCGAGCAATACAGTCGCTTTTCTTGAAAAAATATTTGGATTAAGCAAAGAGGTCGCGGGCATTATGGAAAGCTTTGGGGGAGATGTGCATTCGGAAAATTTTCATTTATTTCGTACTTATTATTCGTAACAGACCATTTCGTAACATCACTAGTGAATATTGTATCCTAACTTTTCTAATAAGAAAACCTAGTAACTAGTCGTTACCAGCTAAAAACTTCGATAGATCCTACTTTGCCAGTTACGCAATTTGATGAAAAAAAGACTGGCAAGTGTGAGTCGGACTCTAACATTCAGGGTTCCGTACCCAGAAAATGGTAATTAAGCCTATAATGGAGATGAGACCTAAAAATCATAAACAAGAACAGTAAACATCTGTAAGAGAAATAAGTTTATAAAGCACCTGAATTTACTTATTTATTTATTGAGCCATACCACAGAATAAGTAATAGTACAGGCCATACCAACAACATTACACACAAAGTAATTACATGAGAATCTTACTTAGGTATATTTTGATGCATTTAACAAGTGGTCTCCTAAGCATTTGCTATGTATGATACATAGTTATTATCTTTTTCTGTTGAAGTAAAAAAAGGATTTAGTTAATCAACAGAAGAACATAATAAGAAGGTATGTATTATAACAAATCAATTAGCTATAGGCTATGCAATATGCATTCTTGGTACAGTCAATGAAAAGGACATCTAAAATAGACGACAATGAGCATTATTTGTAACAATACTGACATTGTCTGCCTTTAGGTTCTAGGTTTGAATTACCTACCTATTGACTACTTCGAAATCAATCTAGCTCATGCCTGCCAACAATAAACACTGTGCAATTAATATAATCAAGCAACCACCACTCACGGTAATTCGATTACCTACACCGGGAGAATCCCACGGGATTACCGCGATAACGTTACGGATGATATAATTACTAACGGAAACACTCGAGGGCTCTTGTGACGTCACAAGTGACGTCGGCCTTTCCCCAGGTCAGTGCTTCGGCCGTAGGGACTATATGTTGAGGCATTCCAATTGATTGTTCGATTCACACATGAACAAATCAAGTATGTAGGCACTTCGGTTGAACGTACTGTAACTAGGCCAACGAAACGTCACCAAACGGCCTTGCACGATATTTACTTATGACAATAAATCAGTGTGTATTTGGTATTGACCGTGTTTAATTGTCTCGATAATTATTTAACCTCATCCTCCTGACAGTCAAACCGACACATCAACACACGCTCCATTTTGGTGACCCCAACTGAAGTACCCATTCATTAATCGCTGACTGCACTGCACGATTCCATTGGTCTCCACAAGCGGAATCGTCATAAAATTTTCCAGAGGCAACCTTCGGCCTGATCATCACTTACCATCAGGTGAGATACAGTCCAAGAGCTTACTCGTTGTGGATAAAATAATCAATCGGAACTGGATTTTTCAAACATTCCGAATTAGAGGTGTAAGTTTGTGTGGATCGAACAACCCTCTAACTGCCGTTGCTTTTTTCATTTGGATTTTTACAGAATTGCACAAAAAGTATACCTAGGTACGACTTGTATTCCATATTCGGTACCTTCTAGTTAGAATTTGGATATCTCATGTTTCAAAAATACGTCAGCAACAATACCCTTGTGATTTTAAGCGAAACACTAATTAAATACTACATTATTTACTTGCGTCGTGTCCTACTTTACATATTTGCAGTTTGTTGGCTGGCTGGTTTTCCCTGGAAATAACTGTATTAATTATTATGTAAATGGCTTACTATAGCTTGCTTAACCTAAATCTCGATAAAGTTCAATACCAACTCTTAAAAATTCAAGTATACCTTTAAGAATTATTTTAATATCCGTTTAAAAGTTCGAATTACCACGAAAAGGTCAAGGATATTACTTACCTTTTTTAAACGATTTTATTATATTTCTAAAGTTCTCTTCTAGCAACCTAATTTACCGCCTGAATTACCCCTAAAAGTAAGTTGAGTAAATTCACAAAGTTTAGTTACCTAAGTCTACTAGATATTCCTTTTTGTCAAGGTAACTAATAAAAAACGTTTTACGTTTCAATCAATTCTATTATAACACTGATTTTGAACAGATTTTAACAATTGCCATTTGGATTTCTTACTTATTACGTGAATGAACCCTAATGCTAACAAAATATCCAAAACACGTCTAATAATAGATATTTACTGAAGTCTCAACGATTGAATCTTAAATATCTTGTTTACTAAAACTCGTAAAATAATAGCACAGTAGATTATACAGTGTGTCCGGGCATGTAGTGATCAAACTTTAAGGCCATGATTTCCCAAATTGTCGATATTTGACCGATTTTGTTTGCAGATAGTTTCTAAATGAAAAGATATTTTAGCAAACAAAAAATTGTACGAGTAAGTTAATGTCTTTAACTAGGGCGACAACTTTTCCAAAACACGATATTGCATAGTTTGTCCGATAAAAAAAAATCCCAAAGAAGTACGTCGACGGCTTTTTTGTTTTACTCTCATATATTCATTTTTAACATTTTACACTTAAAATATATACTAATAGATAGGACTTTGTATTTTCTAGGTCGACAACTTTTCAAACTTTTGTTATTGCGTCTTATTTAGTTACTATGTAGAAAAAATGTGAAAAAATCGGCCATGACGGCTTGGACAATCTCAATCAGTCGCGCGGTGGCGCTTACGGAGGACGGACGCGTGTCAGTTTTATTCCTGTGACAGTTCGCGATTTGTCAATATTTTTGACAAAATCGCCTCTGTCTGGCGGGTGAGTGCTATGAACCACTACACCGAACGGCCGACACACTGAGTGAGAACCTCGCAAGTTCCTTAACTTTGGAAAATTATCCATAAGGCTGGAAAGCCGCCTAACAAAGTCTCATCCTATTGCTCTATTATCCTGACACTTGTATTGTCAAAATTGTGGGAAAGGACCATGCTTGGACGTTTATCCCCTTACATAAGTATGACCCATGTAATATAATATACTCGACTATCAATTTTGGCAGAAACCATACCAACCATAACAAATAGGTACACAGAGTGTATTGTCGTACAATAAGATAATGTTTGGAAAATAAATAACACTGTATGACTGCTTTCGTTAGGGCTTTGACCGGGTTTAGTTTATAGGATCACTATTAAATTAAAAAACACCTTCCACACTACTACTACCTGCTGATGGATAGACAGACAGTTTCAAGTCAATCTGTGACAAGATCTTTTTATAGCTGCAGAGCTTGAGTATCCCAGTACTCCGTAATTGGTCCGGTCCTCCACAACATATCTACTAGTAAAGTAGCCCAGTCACCAGAAACAACTGTGGCCTTCCTCAGATGTAACAGTGATCTTAAAGCCACTAGCCTAGACTGTTGCAAACTCAGCTATATGCGACTAATGCTTGGCTGACCAAGTGGCGTAAAAAGCAAACTTCGAAGTCTCACCATATCACATTTAGGACATGAAACTTATCCTCCGGCCAATCTCAACCTCAGCACATTGCCGCAATCCTGCGTTAAAGATAGGGATGTTATGGGTATGCAGTTTCGGTTACGGATATAGGAATAATATTATACCGGTTTCGGTTACGGTTTCGGATACTTATTTGTTTTGGATATCTGAAAGTTTCGGTTACGGTTGCGGATATCCATAACATCCCTGTTAAAGACCTGGACCGTATGATGACATGGAAAAGGACATGCCTCCAAAAAGGGCTCCGAAATATCTGCTAAGGGTACTTTCATCGGCGCATTGGTAGTATTGGTACACTTACATTTGAGAATTTGCGATCATCAATTAGATGCAATAATGAACATGGGATGTGATACAATGCAGCCTAGCAAATATTTTAAAGTATAGTAAGTAAGTCTATACCAACAAGGGAAGTCTGGAAAAGGGAACCATAAGATTTTGGTCAGTATAATAGTTGACGGCTCCAAGATGGACTCAGGATCGGGAACGGGCGTCTACTCCAAACGATCAGAGCACAGTAAAAGTTTAGGGGAGTTTGCAACAGTATTTCAAGCTGAAACCTATGTTCTAATCATGTGTGCACTAAGGAATATAGAACAGGTGCATAAAAAGCGCGACATTTTCATCCTAAGTGACAGTCAGGCAGCACTCAAAGCCATTGCCTCAGTGAGGGTTGGATCTAGACTCATTCTGAGGCAATCTTGGCACTAAATAAACTTGGAAGGCACAACAGGGTGACCCTAATGTGAGTACCTCGACATACAGGAATCGAAGGCAATGAGAGAGCCGACAGTCTAGCGAGACAAGGCTCAGAGGTGATACGTATTGGTCCAGAGCCGATAGTGCCCATATCTATAAGCACCGCACACATGGTCATGAGGCAATTGTATAGCTAGGAGGCATAGAGCTGAATGAGTAAGCCCAACGGTATGAGCCACTCTAAATTATTNGACCATAGATTACGCCCTTAAAGTTTGATCACTACATGCCCGGACACACTGTATACTGTGATAATAGATAGGTACTCGTATATTTACGTCAATCATACTGGTGTCGGTATTCAAACCCCGTCGTCGCTGGACTACTTCAATTGTGATGAATGTAGCTTGTAGCTCGAGGGGTTAACTGGGCTATTAATAATCTGCATTCCATAGCGGTCCTTTTTGTACTTTTTTATATATTTTATTGTTCACAAAAGGATACACATCAATACATAAAGATTCCATTACAGTTTGTCAGCAATAGTTCTCCTCCTTATTTCTAGGGCTCAGTTGTACCAGCTTACTTCAACCGTTACCATAGCAGTAACTGGTATTTTTTGTATGGAATTTGACAGATTTTTTTAAGATTGTTAAAGTAACAGCAAGATGGCGCCACCCAGCCTAAGTATTCATTGTTCGTTCGTTCGTTTCAGCCGAAAGACGTCCACTGCTGGACAAAGGTCTCCCCCAAGGATTCATTGTGTTTTCTGCTTATTACTACACTATATCAAACACATTTGTACTAAGCTCAAGTCCCCAAAAGACAGGACTACCTAGTTTGGGGACTACTAGCAAGTCACCTGAAATCTTATTAGTATACCTACCTACTTTGTATTTTTCTGGAAATTTTATTCTTCATATTCTTCTTCTGTGCAATACAAATAGCTAATATTCAATTTAAAAATACCTGGGAAATTGGCGACAACACCCTTGACGTAATTGGCCCAGGCAGGTTCTCCCGGCCGTAGAGGGGCGTCGGGCGTCGGCGCGGGGAAACTGGCTTCCTGCGAGTGCTGGCCAGCGGACAGCACGTTACACTGGCCTGTATCGTTGTGGGAACCCACCACCACGGTCACGAAGGGAAGGGCCTGGGGAAACAAAAGGTTTAAACCTTCGTGGTTTAAAAAAACAATAGGGGAGACTGACTCTACCATTACTGGACTATCTCATAATCATCATCATCATTATCATCATCATCTCAGACATAGGACGTCCACTGCTAAACATAGGCCTCCCCCAATGCTTTCCATGTTGCCCGGTTGGCAGCGGCCTGCGTCCAGCGCCTTCCTGCTAGCTTCATGATGTCGTCGGTCCACCTTGTGGGTGGACGTCCCACGCTGCGTTTTCCGGTACGCGGCCTCCACTCCAGAACCTACTCCATCAGTCGTCAGTTCTGCGTAATGCACCCTGCCCATTGCCACTTCAGCTTGCTAATCCATCGGGCTATGTCAGGACTTTAGTTCGTTTACGGATCTCTTCATTTCTGATTCGATCTCGTAAAGAAACACCGACTTGGACTGGACTTTCTGGACTATTTAGTTAGGTACAATCAGCGTTAGAATAGGTGGTTCTTGCCTTTTAAGATGTACTACTGAAGACACATGCAAAACTGGTACAAACGACAGCACATCAACAAAAATGTATAATCTGATGTGCTGACAAAAATGTATTAGAATACACACTATAAATGTAAAGCAATGATTTTTGTGGGACGTGGGGCGTGGGACGTCCACCCATAAGGTGGACCGACGACCTGATAAAGGTAGCAGGAAAGCGCTGGATGCAGGCCGCTACCAATCGTGCGATGTGGAAGTCATTGGGGGAGGCATATGTTCAGCAGTGGACGTCCTGTGGCTGAAATTATGATGATGATGATGATGATTTTTGTCCACTACACGATGTTGGACATCAATCAGTAAACACCTAGAGATGTATTATTTATTTATTTATTTTATTTGGTGCACAAAACAGGGATACAACCATAACATACAAAGCGTTTAAAGCAGGTTATACAGTATAACTTGTTGCAGCTCCAATAACAAGTGCACACAACATACAAATGGATAGATAGAGTACACAGATTTTCTATCTAAGATTAATTAATATCCATATCAATTAAAGTGATTAATGAAAACATAGCTTTGTTTCGAAATTAAAGGATAATAATTCAGGTTTACATTTTATCGTTTAAGTTACTCTTATAAAAGCCAAGAGCAAACCATTAACACTAAACACCGGCAATAATGAGAACAATTATGACCCAAATCCACTTTGATCGCACAATTTTGTTGCGAATATTCCTCTTTGTCCTGCCTTTGGTTCATATAATTGCTCTAATACTTTTGCTGAAAACATTTTGTAAATATTTCATACTAATCACCGGCCCAATGGGGTTCGGGGTTCTAATCTGGGGATATTGACCTTGGGTCACAGGATTAGGTCGGGGCAAGACCGAAAGGGAACCACCAAAGGCACATCCTATCAAGTACTCGTAGTTTTTGGAAATTAACATTAAAAAACAAGGGTAACTGCGTTCTGCAGAGCATTTCATTACTACGAGTCTGTAGACACTAGACTTTACAAAATGTGTTAGCACATAGCGCAGGAACGGGAAAACTTGATCGAGATTTTACTACCATTTTTGTCTGCAAAAATATCAATGTCTCTGCAGACTTTCTACATTACTCTTTCTTCTTCTTAATCGATTTTATAGCTCTGGCTTTTATTGTACTTATTAGGAGCAAAATCAATAAAGAAATTATAACAACTGTCTACAGTATTTTTGCGCACGGGTTATGCATAGCTTATTTTTATTGCTTTAATACCTAGAAATAAGAATAACAACAAAAAATTGTTCTGAATTTGCGTTTATGTGTAAAAAATAGAAAAATGCATATCAATGAATGTATGAAACATGGACATACAGATGATTTAATTTGTTGCCAAATATTTTTCTTTTTTTCTTTCTTTCATTCTTTCTTATTATTAAAACATACTAAACATCCATTTAAGATTCATTCTCACAAGAGAAGTTTTAAAATAGAGACCAAATATTTATTAAAAATTAAAAGTTCTACTTTCCTGTCATGTTCCATAGAAGATTTTTCTCATAAAAATCTAACCCTATCATGCTTTCAGTATACTGGCCTTGGTAACGTCGTCTCTCAAATCCCACTATATTTTGACGGAAACGTGCCCCCTGTTCTTGCGAATAAGCCCCCATAATTATCTATAAATGTATCCCAATGAGAATGTGACGTGCATCTTTAGAGACATTCTACTATGATTCAAATCGCTATAACTTCTTCAAAAGCAAATATTTTCAATTTGTAATCTCACTTTTTTATATAAATTACCTTATATAATCAGAATATAATAAGTAAAATCCATGCTCAAAAAAAATATTTTTTTTGTTGACCGGTGAATAATTAGCGAATAATTCAAAAACAATAATATTTAATGACATAAAATCAAATAGTAAATTAGGCTTCTATTTGAGAATCATCAATCAAGTGCAGTTTGGGCAAACTACTCATTAAACTAATCTTAATTACCAGGAAGGTGATTCCCAACTGAATACGCTGGTGATTTCACATTTCGGAGGGCATGTTATGTCGATTAAGCTATTTCACACATGTCGCACAGGTCGTAAACTTTTGACTGTCTGGATGTATAGTGTGGAATTTTGAATTCCCTCCTGGAGGGAAAGTACTTTTAATACTGTAGATAGAAAATTTTACTGAAAGAAAACATTCCTTTATTTTTGAAAAGAAAGAGAACTGCATTCAAAGATTTTCGAAAATTTGCTATCACCATAAAATGTTCTCTAACATAATTAAAATAATTTAAGATTTCATGGTTTTCCTTTCATTTGATTTATCAAGTACGTTAGAGAGATTTCATCCTTATACTTAACCCTAACGATCTATGTAATAAAAATACAGGGTGTAATAACTTTTTTTAACAGATTTTAGTTGGTTCGATCGGGTGTGGCAAGCAAATTTTTGGAAATCTTTGAATGCAGTTCTACTTCATTTAAAAAATAAAGGAATGTTTTCTTTGAGAAAATTTTTCTATCTATTACAAAATTCCACCCTGTATGTGTAGGTAGCAGGTACTTAATTACCGATTAACTGATGATTAATGGAAGCTAACGAGTCCAAAGAAGTTCCAAAGTTAACTGAAAAGTTAATCCGTTACTCAGTGTCAACTTCATAAATTAACGATTAACCGCACACAGATGCTAAAAATATAAGAGAAAACGAAAATAATAGGTTATTGCTCTCAATTTTCTACCAGCACAGATATTAAAATCTTTAAATTGATTACACCGTCATCAATCATATTAGATTATATTTAGTTTTACACAATTACATTGATTAAGAACCTTAAATAAAATTGTCTCGGTTTTCAGCAATTGTTTTCGTTGCTCCCGTTTTGCGCAGATTGTGTATTAAAAAGGTTCCAGGAATTTCCATTACGCAGTTTTGGTAATGAAACAACAACACCATCTCATTTCCCTTCCCAGAAGTAGATAAACAATGGATCTATGATATATACTTACCTTCATTCATAACATTTTCTATAGTAATATTAAAATGAGGAAAGGTTTGTTTGTTTGGAGGAAATTGGTTCCGAAACTACTGGAGCGATTTGAAAAACTCTTTCACCGTTAGAATGCAAATACATTTCTGCGTAAAAGCACAGAATAATAATAAGTACGTAAAAGGCTGTAAAATATTTTCAAAAAAGTAAGTAGTAGTAATTTTGCTGTTTATTAAATAAATTAGTATTTCCTCCGCCATTTTCCGCAATTTGGCACTTAATATTGCTATTCCAAAGATAAGTTAAACCACAGACTTAAACTCCTTTTTTTGGCGGTACGAAGTTCGCTGAGACAGCTAGTATCATACAATTTTATACATTTATTACTTTATAATTTGTTGTTGTCAATTTTGTTACTCAAAGCAAAGGATACATTTCTCGTTAGTCTAAATTTGACTCTATTACTTATTTACTAATTTCTATTTATATACCTACTAGCTGACCCGGCGAACTTTGTGCCGCCTTAATGGCAATAAATAAGCAGACTTTTTTTAATTTCGAACGGGATAAAAAGTATCCTATGTCCTTCTCCTGGCTCTAAACTACCTCCCTGACAATTTTCAGCTAAATCGGTTCAGCCGTTCTTGAGTTATAAGTGGTGTAACTAACACGACTTTCGTTTATATACAGGGTGTTTCTTGTAAGGTGTCAAGCCGAAGGCAGGTGATAGGTGAGGACTAGACCTATCGATTTCACCCCCATGTATGTTTTACGATTTTTCATAGTTTAGAAGTAATCGTTAATTTTGTGATTTTTTCAAATTGTATGACCTAGTAGGCTTTAAATTTTTTTATCTTTTTTTTGGGTCGACTTTTCTCAGATTTCTTTTTTTTGACAGATTCCCTATTAATTGCAGATTTTTGAAAAAAATAATCAACTTCCTATCTTTGATGCAAGATACAAAATTTTTGCTAGAAACTTAAAAAATATGCTTTTAGCGGAACATTCTAAAATTTTCAACTTAAAAGTTTAAAAAAAAATTGCAGCTTTAAAAATCAAAAAGCCTTTCAGCCTACCAGTATATCATTCTCAAAAATTAATCATCCTTTCAATGCAACAAACCAATTAAGCAGGGATGAAATCTCACTGCCTCTAAGAAGCGCTAATCTCATTCCAGCAGACTTCTTTTTGCGGGGTTACCTTATGAGCAGAGTATACTCTAATAATCCAAAAACTGCAGCATTCATCCATCCTGAATCCATTTCGAGATAACTCTAACGAAAGTTTTCCAAAATTTTGATGTATGTTGACCGAATGTTGTAAACGTCAAGGGTATCACGTCATGTACGATAAAATTTATAAAAGTAAGTAAATTTTAAAATAAATTGCACTAAATTTCCTTTAAATTGCAATAGGTAAAGTTCTACAAAAATGTACAGTTTTCGTTTCATTGAATTTTCAAAAGTGAATTTTCTTCTGGGCCACCCTGCAGTAAATAATATCTGTTAATGTCTAAATATTGCCAAATAAAAAAGGCGATTTT